TTAAAACCCAACTCTCATGCCATTAGAAAGAGGATCATGAAAAACCTATAAAAAGATGGTTCATGAAATTTTAGTTCACTCATAAAGCTAAAGTCCGCTTGCTCTAGCAAAAAATGCCCACTGTGCAGCGCAGACTCTCAATCAAGCGATTTTAGGGATATTACACGGTGGGAAAAAAATGTAAAAGATACCGTGAAATCCATCGAATGAAAACCGTGTAGAAGAACCATGAAGTAGAAAACTACATTATGAAAACCGTGAAATTCAAAAGTATAAAAGAAAAACTATTGAAGTAAAACCGTAAAAGTTAAAGTAGTAGAAACAAAACCGTCCACTTTCGAACCAATCAAGGAGAACCCTGAAATAAAATCGTCAGTCTAAGAACTGTGAAATTATAATCATGAAAAAATATTATAAAGCTCAAAACTGTAGAAATAAAATCGTGAACTGACAGTTTGCCAAAGGAAAACAATGAAAATAGAAGCGTGACGAGGAAAGCCGTAAAATGGAACTCATACTTTATATCTGATGGTTTTATCGAAGCTTCAAAACGCATAAAAAAAATGAAAAATTTTCGACAAATCTATCTCACACTCAGGAATATTCAATAAGGAGCATTAGCTGAGTAGATAAGACAGTAAACCCGGCATTTTAAACAGAGACGAGGGATGTTATCTGGAACACATATCGATGACTCTAACATCCGACAAGTATCCAGACCAGTTTGACATCGTCCAACGCATGTTTCTGCAAAATATGCCGGTTTTGTGAACTTTCTCCTTTTACAAATTCTTTTCTTTAAAGCTGCGACTATCTTGAAATCGTTCTGATGTCGATTGTCTTAGAAGGTAGAGAAGAAGAGTATAGTGGAAATTTTTCCGTAAAATGGTATCATATGATATCTGTGCACACCTATAGAGTTAGCGTTTCTCTTTCATACCTCAAGTGCAGGTACGATAGCATGAGTCTACCAGAGAACATGGTGAGTATGCAGTGCGAAGTCATACTTCTGTAAGTTTCTCACTTCAGTAGTTTGTGCCTTAGTCTCATAATTCATACTCGTCAAGCTTCTCAGGTTCGATTCCTGTTCTTTTTCTTCCCTTTCGAAGTAGACGATTTTACTTGCACAGTTTTACCTAGACGGTTTTTCTAACAGTTTTAAAATCGTTAAAGCAAAACCGTTATATTACAATCATCGACAAAAAAAAAGCATAAACAACCAAAACTGTGAAAAAATCCATACCAAACTGACTACGTAAAACCGCGTATAAAAACCGTCATAAATTTCACAGTATTTTTTCTCCAAGTATAGAAGACCCTCAGAATTTGTGTGCTCTAGGACGCAATAGAAGACCCGAGTCCTCTATTGTATTCACCCCTTTACGTTTAACTACACGGCTTGTCCACGTAACTTGACACTTCGCTGATCAAGTTTTTGAAAAAATTATTTTAGAGTAAAACTGAAAGGAACATATTACTAATGCAGTTTTGGATGCTGATTACGAATTTCACATTATTTTTTCTAAAAAGTTAAATTTTAGCATCAAAAATTCAGTTTTATATTTTTTGAAAACTGTATTTTCAATTTCCTCACCTAGACACTTTCCCTAATAAAAATGAAATACCACACTAATCCATAGAGAATTCGATTCTCTACAAGATGGGATATTTCTTTTGAAGTTTAGACTCAAAATAAACTTTTTAATAAAGGTTTTAGTTTTAAAATTCTGACACAATTTATAAGAAAGTATAAGAAACATCTTCTCAGCTTTATTTTCACGTTAGTCTATTAGATTCCTAAAACTAAGTCCGATGTGAAAATGAAATCGTTTGAGCAATGTTTACTGCTCCAGACTTTGTTGGGAAAAAAGTGTGTCACAGCGTCACGACGATAAAACACAATTATTGAAGGATGGAAAGCTGATTGGAAAGATTTTTTAGCAATCAGTAACTCATTTACTCCTCTATAAATTTTGCTCGAGGCGCTTTTATTAGCTCTTCTAAATTCTGTGTGTTAAATGTTACAGCGTCACGCTAGGACAAGCTATACAGTGAAAACTAGCTGTCGCTCGTGCGGGATGGTTTCGATAGTTCATATATAAACAAAACAATAAATGTATAACGTTTACAAACGTTTATTTTGCTGTTAAACAGACACATGCTTTCGTTAGTGAATAAAAACATTTTAGTTTCAAGAAAACTCGTATGATCCTTTTAGTTTACTTTTATCTTTTTTTGATTATGTACACATAATTCTTGTAATTTAATTGTGTTTTGTTTCTTTTGTTCAATGAATGCTTTTAGAACTTTTCGTTTTCTTACCAGAACGAATTCTTCATCATCTGGATCTAATGGCCAGATTTTGTTAGGATCGTCTAATTCATTTCGTTGTTTTATTTCTTTTATTGTTTTTGTTTCAGTGCCTATTTCACCTTCTGAAATAATTGCCCAACTAACTTTATGAAATTGACTTTTTGATATTTCTGTGGTCATTTGTAATCTTCTATCTTCAGCAATAAATTTTTCAAAATAGTCTTGTGCTTCATCAGGTGTAAACCATGAACCAGTGTATAGTTGCCGTGCACGATAATAATCTTCGGCTGATGATGTATCAAAACATTCGGTAACTTGTCCAACCCACCAAGGATCTTTATTTTGCATAGGCATCGGAAATTGTGCATCGTTAATATCTCCTGTTACGGTAAATGGTGCTATATTGCGTTTTGTTACATATGGTAATTTTTTCAACCAACGTTCTATACATAAAACTAATTCATCGACAAAACGTTTTCTTAATATTTTTACTTCTAAAAGAAAAATACTAAACAAATAAATAAAAAAAATAAACTTTCAAAAATCAGTGACCGTGTACCTACCCGGTGAATTATATTCCAGCCAATTGTAATCAGAAACGTCAGCATCATCATAAATTACGTTCATTTTCACTAATTCTAAACCATCAACTAATAATTTCAACTCATCTTCTGGAATTGTTTGCGTTTCCATTATTCTTGTCCATTCTTTTTTATAAATTGTTTCCCGCTCACGTCGTTGTTCGGCTGTTACTTGTAATACAGCAGATGAATTTTCATTATTTTGAGGGTTTTGTTCTTTGTTCGTATTTGTTTTGCTTGATGCTGTAGATGGTGTTGGAGGATATGCTTGTCCAACTATACCAGGTTTTGTATGATGCAACTGAAAAAAACACAAATAAGATATTTTTTTTCTGGAGATAACATATAAGCAATTTTTTAAAAAAGTCCGAAGGACGGGGGGGGGGGTGGCATTATCTGATGAAATCGACTCATGGCGGAATCTCACCGAGTAATCAAAGCCTAGATGCAGAATGAAGAGGGGAATATTTCTAGGTACTTATTAGACCTTAGAACTACTTTCAGAAAAATATTGATCGAATCAAATTCGATTAAGTTTTTACTGCATCTGATATATATTATAGATTATATTTTTGGATCTTCCTCTCTCAGTTTCACAATTCCTCACGATTATTATATATCATTCGAAAGCTCTTGTTTTTCACTATATTTCCGTATATCGCACATGCGCAAATAATCCTTCTGAGGCCAAGTATGTGTAGAAATAAATCCTTCTGACTATGAAAAATGATCGCCTACATGCAAAAGTTTCAGATATTCTATGTCAACATTTCGCATCCGTCTACTACAATAAATATACCACTCGATAGAGAATTTGTCCAGCTGCAAATTGATACATTACAATATAGAGAAAAAAGTGTCCTACGAAACCCTGACATTAGAAATGTTTCTGCATAGCCAGGATTCTGCTCGTAAGTCTCACTTTTTCTCCATCAGAACTCAATTGCTATGCAACAGAAATGTCATATTCGGAATCAAGATCAAAAACTGACTCGACTTATGTGTATTTCGAAATTTTTACTTGATTTTCATTTTTTGGTGAAAATACCGATAATTTTTCAATGTGAAAATTCGATAAGAACTAAAGTAGTCGGGTAGGGCGAAAATACATCTTAATCCAGTGAGTTTTTGATCCTGATTCCGAATATAATACTTTTACCGCATAAAAGTGAGCTCTGATGGAGAAAACCGAGGGGTTATTCTTTCGAGAGTGTACCACATTCCCATTGACTTTCTGCCAATCGTACGGCACTTTCAGGACTAGTAGAACTCATCACGGTGATCACAAAAATCATCTTAAAAATTTTTGAAAATGAGATCCCCGGGCGAGGCCCCAGAAAGACTTTTCAACAATTGTTTTGCCATAACTTTGCCATTTCAAAAGATGAAAAGACACTGACCACTAGTTTTCAATTTTCACTAACTTCCGCTCCCTCCCGCTGGTCCACGATGCTGCTCGAAAATTCAGTAGTAAAGCGAAAGTTTTCGAGGACTGAATGAGAGTAAACCCTGTAACTCGGCTGTCTAGTATTGTAAAAGCTTGGTTAATATCTCACTTTGCAGAGGGTTGAACGGGCTATCCAATGGACTGGTTCAAAAACTTGCAAAATGAACTTCAAGGTCGACAGGATTTCTAGTAAACCGGAGTTTTCAGAAAACGTTTCTAATGATCCAGATGGCTAACAATAATTTTTCTTTATTGAAACATATAGAGTCCAATACCCTCTTTCATTTGAAATCATGTTAACGCGTTTGACAAGTTGAGCCAAATCCACTGGAAAACGACGAAAAACGCAGTTTTCTGCTGTGAGAGTAAAGTGCCAGTAACGTTTTTTGTAAGTCACTTGGAAACCTTTTGTTTTTATCATTTGGTTCAGCTCGTCGAGCTCTACAGTATGAGACAGATCTTGTTACTGACTTCAACACTTCTGTATATCGTGGTAGGTTTCATATGAATTTAGTCGTATGGTGATTTTTCCCAACTTTGAGATCAATTTTCTCAGAGATAAAGCATCAGCCAAAAGCAAATGTTTCAGGATTTTGAAGTACTCACTATATACATCAACACTGGGTATAAGGACAGTCTGCAGAATTTGCAGTAGACTAGCGGGAAGAAGCGAAAGTTAGTGAAAATTGAAAACTAGTGGTCAGTGTTTGCTCTACTATTTAGTCTAGAAAACAACTGAAGCCCCGTGGTCTTCTCCATTAGAGAGACAAGAGATTCGGAATTCTAAATCATACTTTGGTGTTAAGTTTTCATTTTGTCTTCATAGAGATATCTGAATGAGAAAAACATCAAAAATCGCGTTTTTGTACAATTCTTCTTAAAAAGCCAGAACACCGGAGAAAAATCCTTTTGCTATAAAAGATGTTTATATTGGTGATTAGTATTTATAAACTCAGTTTGAACTTTCAATCTTTTGAAATGGCAAAGTTATGGCAAAAACAAATTTCTTGAAAAGTCTTTCCGGGGCCTCGCCCGGGGATCTCGTTTTCAAAAATTTTTAAGATGATTTTTGTGATCACCGTGATGAGTTCTACTAGTCCTGAAAGTGCCGTACGATTGGCAGAAAGTCAATGGGAATGTGGTACATTCTCGAAAGAACAAACCTCTCGGTTTTCTCCATCAGAGCTCACTTTTATGCGATAAAAGTATCATATTCGTCATCATATATCGTTTTTTCGAGTTTTTTCTGATCTTTTGACATAAAGAAAACGTTTCGAAAAATTAAAAACTACACATTCTTGAACCGCTCGAAAACCTCTGCTGAATGGCGTATAATAAGTTAAGAAAAAATTCTGCCGCGTTTTTGTATTATTTGTGCCTTATAATAAAATTCCTTTGTATACGAAATTATCCATAATTTAATTCTGTGCAAGACTGTATATTTATTTTTAAGATTCATCTTTGATATTTGGAACAGTGAATCTAACAGGACTAGCTCTAAACTGCTTAACTGCACCTTAAAAGAATCGATTTTTTACGCAAAACCTCGCAAAAAATCACTTATTCCACAAAACAAGGTATGACGAAAAATTCAGTAGAAAATAGTCTACAATATGATGGGTTCTTATTAATGAGAAATAATGATTTTTCAGATGAAAGCAAAGCGACAAGAAGTCTTTGAAAAAGGTCATTTTCTCCTGGTTTCTGGCCATCTTGGCGACATCCAATATTTCTTAGTTTTTCAGGTAAAAAGTAGCAGGTTTAATTGTGAGTTACACAGTCTAATAGAGCTCGAAATTCTGTATTTTTGGTATATAAACTAATGATTTGAACTTTGAATTAAAATAGTCAAAATGTTTTTGAGTGCTAGAACCTTCGGTGGACTTGGAAGTTTATGTATCAAAGCTACTAGCAATTGAAATAAATTAACTACATGTGAACATTTTTGTAATTCATGAAATTCTTGAACATTTGTACTTGTACTCATTATAAACTATTAAAAAACGAGAGCAGCTTGCACTTTGAATTATGTTTTGCAGTTAAGAGTTACTGTGTCAAATATTAAAGATGAATCTTAAAAACTGAATACACAATCTGGTAGAGAATTACATTGTCCATCGTTCGATATATAAACGAATTGCTTTAATAAATAGGAAATGAGGGAAAAATGCACCAAGATTCAGTACAATTTATTCTGGGATATCCGCTACAATTGATTTGTCGTTATCATGACAAATGGCTGCACATGTAACAAAATCTCGCAAATTTAAGTGATGTTTTGATTAAAAGTTAGGACATTTTTGCTAAGAGTTCTAAAACCTATAACATACATTGGTGTCATGATACTATAAAACTGAAAAAACATTAATTTTCTTTGGAAAAATTTGCAAAACGTTTTTATTTTTCAAGTCAGTTTAAATCTGTAAACTAATTTTTTGGGCTTGTGTCATAAAAAACTTTGAAAAACTGAACAACTATTTCAAATCATGTATAATTTTTCTTTTTACTTACCAATTCAATTAATAATTTATCATAATCCAAATCAAAATTATCATTTAATTCGAATGTAATTTCACTATCGAATAAATCATAATATAAATCTATAGTTGTCATTGAATCAAGCCACGTCTGTTTTTCAAGATGATTAGCAGTGTTTTTCTTTCCTACGATGGGTATAATTATTTTTTTTAATAATTTTGCATAGTTCATTTCTGCCATACAATTAACATTATTTGAATAATCTTCATTAAAATAAATTAAAATTAAATCCGATTTATCAATATGAGATTTGAACGATGATGATGTTTGACAAACTAAATAATTTTCACTAAGAAGACGATCAATAAGATACTGACATACATTCTGATCTTGTGGACTATAACTTAACATAATATTATAAGAATAAATTGACAAATTATTATTACTACTAATGCCTGGTTTTGGTCGTGGTCTTTCGTTGGAAGTTCTTGGTGTTGTCGGTGGTTGTGGTTTTCGATTAACTGGTAATATTTCTGATTTTTGTTTTAATATTTCTGACATTAATTTATATTTTTCTTCTGTTTCTTCGACACTTTGTTTTGAACCAGTTACTTCTAATTGTTGTTGATTATTTGTTAAAGTCATTTTTGGTAAAACAAATTTTTCCAAACAATATTTATAAAATGTATTTATCATATGTTGATTCCAATTTTTAAAATCATTTACATTAACGAATTTTTTGGTTGTGGATATACTTTGTTTAATAAACCTATTCATTGTATTTTCACATTTTATTAAGTTATTTTGTTCTGATGATCTCATAGTAATTTCGATTACTGAAAAAAGAGAAAACAAGATTTAACTCAAGAAAATATTTTAGCTTATTTTCGAACTTTGACAATATGTTGTAGAAACGAAAGATTGTGTAACAGAACATTCAGATAAGACTAGAATCCTGAGTAGAGGCAAACATTTTCTCTTCACATTTTTGTCAATTAAATTATCTCTGTCCTACTATCCATTTCAAAATAGAATATATGCGATTGCGATTCGAATAACTCCGAGACGTTAGTAGCTACCGATTTGCGATTTTTACCATTGTGTAGCCAGGCACTTGGAACGTATATGTACATAAGAAGAAATGTCTTTGATGAGTTCTTGAGGGGGTTTTTAGAAGGATCTCTGAAAAACTGTTTCTTTACCCGGAAATTTCACAGCTCACTCAGAAAATATCAGGTGAATTGGAAACTTCAGAATGTATAGAATTCAAGGCATTCTATACCCTATTTATATCAACACTTATAAATAAAACATCCTAAAACCAAATGGTTCTGAGGAGTTTTCCAGAAAACTTTCGAACAGAAACACGATTTTCAAGTTTTTGGGATCATATAATCACTTTAAACGGATAAACTAATATTCCTGAAGTTTTCAACTCGTCCTGATATTTTCTGAGTGAGCTGTGAATTTTTTGATTTTATATTTTATTTAATACCAAAGATTACCACTAGATTCAGCGTGGTCGATTACGTATGTTCGTTCTATGCTGCTCGAAGACCACCTGATACTAGTCCTGATTCTTCAAGAAAATTCGGCATCTCGCCTGAACCACTGAAAATAAAGGTCCTGTTGGACTGTTATTTAAAAGAGAACACTTAGGGCTACCTTTTTATGAAAGAAACTAATACATTGCTACGTTAAATTTCCGGGTAATGAAACAGTTTTCCAGAGATTCGTCTAAAAAGCCCCTCAAGAACTCATTAAAAAAAATTCTTCATATGTACATCCACGTCCCAAGTGTCTGGCTACACAGTGTCGAATCGCAGTCGCACACGTTCTATTTTGAAATGGACAGTAGTCCTATAAAAATTTTAAATTGTAATCGTTTGATCGAGTTTCTCAAGTGCTGCGTTTACTCTTATTTATTTTTTTGAATCATATTAGATTTTAGGGCTGTAGCAGAAATCCGGTTCCCATGTTTAGGTCCGTTTTATACGACAAAAACCTTTTTCTTTTTTTGATTATGTTTGTGTATGAAACGCCCAAACATTATTTAGATATTTTTCCGAAAGAGTACGAAAATTCAAGCGTTGAACATTATTATTACTCTATCTCTCATCTGATTTAATCTTCTTCCCCAACTTAACTTGTTAAAATGTAATTGATTAGAGAGTTATCATTTTCAGTTATTCACTTGCTGCTACGCAGAGAAATTTTTGAGAACTGTATCTCTCAGTTTTTAACATACCGGACATACAATTTAATGTGTAGAATAGGATAAAGTACTACTATCCACTAATAAAAAGAACGATCCACGGCATTCTTTGAATAATTGTTTAACGGAAAGAGCTAAAACCATGTGTTTTTCAGTTGACAGAGGAGATGATGGAAAGTAAAACTATGAAGAACTTAGGTCTCCTGATCAGGTCTACCATGGTGTACCTCGTCGAACAAAATCTGAAAGCTTCATATGTCACGAAGAAAATGTTGTTTGAATTCTGAGAGGTTGAGTCGAACCCCAGGCCATCCTCTTTAAAAGTACATATGTTTAACTCCCATAGTTCGGAGCTATAGGCATTTCTCAAGGACCTACCTGTCGGCTAAACTTCATGTTTACGAACTTGAAAAACACATGGAACATACCATGCTGAATCTCACGGCAATGTTTGTCATCCGAAAAAGTTTCAAAAAAAATTAATGAAAACCTATACTACTATCGAAACGGAAAGGTCGTGCCGGTTGCCGTTTTTCAAATAACTTTTTAACGAAAGGTCTTAGCGGCCTGCGGTTTTCACCATCGTATAGAGGACACTTAAAGCCATATTTTTATAAGCAA